AGATTGTTGAACTTCTGCGGACTTGCTCAGGTAAGTTGTTCCAATCTGTTATTGTTTTTGGGAAGAATGACTGATGAAAGAAGGATTGTCTTGAGAGTATAGGAAGAATGGTGCTCGAGTTTCTGAAGTTATAGTTTTGAGTGCGATGAATCAGAATAGGACAGATAAATTTCAAGTACGGGGGACAAAGTTAATTCTTAATTTCGTTATCTTATAACTACCCATGCACTTTCAATAAGTTCAGATTCATAATGACTGCAATTGTCAAACAATATATTACCATATTCCAATATAGATCTGACCATCGATTTGTAGGGAGTCTCGAGACCAAGTCGAGGGATTATGGACGATCGTGCCTTTAGTATGGTAAGTAGTTTGTTTGTTTTCGCTACGATCTCTGATATGTGTGTATGCCCGCTGAAGTTTCCAGATAAGAATATACCAAGATGTTTGTGGGTATTCACATGCTTTCGAGCATAAGATTGGGTTATATGACAAATTCAGTTATAACTGAATTAAATGTGACAAACCATCGTTTTGACCACTGCGATAAAGTAGATAAATCTTCGTTAAGCTTATTGACTGAATCATGACTATTGATTTCAGAAGACAGTGACGTATCGTCAGCGAATAGATTAAAATCAGATAGCTATAGGATGCCTACGTTGATACCACAAATAGCAAAGGCCCGAGGAGAGAGCCCTGGGGAACTCCAGAATTAAAATACCTACGTTCAGAGGCTTGATCGTTTAAAACTACAAACTGATTTCTATTTAATAGATAGCTTTTGAGCCAACAAAGTAGACTTCCTTTAATACTATTTTCTTTCCAATTTGAAAAGAAGGCCTCCATGCCACACTTTATCAAATGCTTTTGAGACATCTAAAAATACTGTATAAACGTCTTTACCATCATCTATACATTGGTATGTGTAATGAACTATTTTCACAATTGATTTATGGTAGAATCATTTCTCTTAAATCCAGAGTTTTCTTTAATGAGAATTGTATTTGTCATAAAAAACACTCACTCATAGATACGCTTATATACTATTTGTTCAAGACATTTAGAGATATTGGAAAGAAGGGAGATGGGTCGATAGTTTTTAACATTTTTTTACAGTACTTTTTATGTATTGGGCAAATTTGAGCTGTTTTCCAGAACATTGGGAAACAACCTGACATGAGAGAAATATTAAAGATATGCGACCAAATATGGCATAGTGATCTACAAACGTTTTTAAAAATAACATTTCCTATGCCATCTGGTCCTGTTGCTTTGTTCGTATTTAGAGACTGAAAAATGTTAATACTTCATCTGGAGTCGTTTGTACAATACTGATTATAGGTATGTTATCATGTGCATTGATTGAGGGAGTACCGGTCTATCTATGTTGTCCTGGGTCGTGCATTGTTCCGAAACAATATTTGTTAAACATACTGGCCATGTGTTTGATGATTGTTTTCAATTAACGGAGAATCCCTCCGTTAATTGAAAACAATCACCTAATATTGAATTGTTGTTCCTGATTTGTACCCAGAAGGGATTTGGTGATAGACTTAGGATTGGTAACGTTTACACAGGAGGGATTTGGTGATAGACTTAGGATTGATATCGTTTACACAGAAGGGATTTGGGGATAGACTTAGGATTGATATCGTTTACACAGGAGGGATTTGGTAATAGACTTAGGATTGATATCGTTTACACAGGAGGGATTTGGTAATAGACTTAGGATTGATATCGTTTACACAGAAGGGATTTGGGGATAGACTTAGGATTGATATCGTTTACACAGGAGGGATTTGGTGAAAGACTTAGGATTGATATCGTTTACACAGGCGGGATTTGGGGATAGCCTTAGGATTGGTATCGTTTACACAGAAGGGATTTGGTGATAGACTTAGGATTGGTATCGTTTACACAGGCGGGATTTGGTGATAGCCTTAGGATTGGTATCGTTTACACAGAAGGGATTTGGTGATAGACTTAGGATTGATATCGTTTACACAGAAGGGATTTGGTGATAGACTTTGGATTGGTAACGTTTCAACGCTTTACGTTTTACACACTTTGCTTCCCCGCGCTACATGGAACCTTAACTTATGATATTTTGAGCTCGCTGAAATATTTTAAAATGTCTATCTCTTTTCCTGAAAGCTCCACGTACTTCATTCGTTATCCAAGGTTTGTCACGAGGACGAATAGTCACTATCTTTTTTAATATTAAACTTTTACATATGTCTAAAAAAGATTTATTTACGTTTATAATCATATCATCAGTTTAATCGAGACGTCAAGGAATATGTCAATATAAGCGTAGTTCAGACCTAAGATATCTGCTGTTTTATAATTTCATATAGTTCTTCGATAAGATTGCGACTTAGGTACATTTTATTTCAGTTTACAAGAAATTGTGCAATGATCAAGGTTACAGAGTGCAGCTGTTACCTCACAATTAGCCACCAAACGGGCTTTATCCACAAAAACTAAATCTAGAATATGAGCGGAGTTTTCAGTGAAATAAGTAGGTTTGTTGATTAATTGGTACAAATTGTTTAGGAGAGCAATATTAAAAAGGCGACGTCCAACTTCACTAGTCACGTGCTGATCGTTCCAAGAGAAGCACCTATCTCGTACTGCATGGTTTGAACAGTGTCCGAAATATAAGTTAAAAAGTTAAACGTCCTTTTAGTACGGGAATCCTGATTGGGAGGACGATATATCGTGTGTAATGTGATCTTTCTAAGACAATACTTTCTATGTTCGGAGATGATAGGTCTGGTCGCCGTTGCATTTAATTGTTTCGCGGATATAAATAGCTGTTTGTTACTGAACAAGTTAGTTTGTCTACATGTATATAATAAACGCGTCCCGTACATTTGTTTCCATGTTTTCCCTGCTATACTGGTAAGACGGACTGGTCGGTAATTCCTTGGGTCTAATATTGATCCTTTCTTCAATGTATGGCATCATAAGATGTAACCGTCTGTAACACATATATTGTTTTAAGTGGTAAAATATCGTACAGTGAAAATGTGACATTGAGGGGTACTAAGTATATCAGGTGTCTGGCTTCCCAAGTATTTCTCCGTGCAGCTTCGTCTCGGGGATAATGTCCCGTAAACAGTACATATAAAAAACGCATAGATATTTTAGATAAAAACATATTTCTGAAAACCTATCGAAAATACAAAATCTTTGAAGCACGTCAGAGGAAGCTCAACCCAGCTGTCACCTGATTGGCTCGGTCATTTCCGTGAGTAAGTTACGGAAAGTTACGAAGTTAGTTTAAAGTCCCGGAAAGGGAGTTAATCTGCTGTGGTGATTTAGGTTTCGGACTAAAACATAACGGAACAAGGACCAACTCTTGGATTTTAAAATAGAGGATATTTTTGTAAATGTGTTTATAAACATATTGTCGCTACAGTTATAGTGTACTTACTTCCCTAATTACCGTGAATATGCTCGGAATATAAACATCATAATATAACTAGCGCTTGGAATCTTTTAGGATTTGCCCCTCGACTATAAGAATAATCTCCTTTGGTTTATCACGGACTTAGATAACAAATCTAATCTAATTCCGTGGGTTTATAAAGCCTTTCCGACACAATAATTGGTCAGCCATGTAGTTAGAAATACCCACTGATTTGTTTTGATATGGTTGACTAAAAGTGCACACGTGACAAACGTGTACATTAACTGTTCATTGTTGTGTTTACGTAATTATAAGAGCGTAGCTCTCGGCGTCCTAGCGAAGCACTTGCGTACTACAAGAGTTACTTCCCTTGCTATACATGTTGCCTTCTAAATTTTTGCGTCAGGAATTACCTAGCAGTCCAATGGGGAAAAAAGAAGTAAACTCTTGAACCAAAAAAAATAGTTTCAACACATACAAAGTCTTACATCTAAATATACTGAAAACGATATTCACGGTTTTCGAGTTCTGTTTTATAAGGAGAATATTTCAATACGAAGTAGACATTCTTCTTTGACGTGTTTAAGTAATGAGGTGCAACTGTTAAGTTGCTAGGGGAAATAAACAAAAACAAAAACGAGAACAACCTCTTATAAAAACAGAATTGTTGTTATTTTACTATATTCTCAGATTTTGCTAAAAGTTGATACACACCGATGATTTTTCCAGACTACCAACACGAGTTTTAACGCCATTTTTCAGCAACGTTAATATTTTTCACGCTATGTGCCGATTAATAAAAAAAAAAAATAAGGACAGAAAAGTTAATTTTATATGACAAGTTTACTTGTATAATCTAGAAGATTGTAACAACAAAATAAATTTTGGCCCGATCTTACAGAGATGTAGACACTGCCATATCGATATAACACCCCTCGTTTGAATGGTAATCTCTGTTGCGTTGAAGTTTAACAATGGTATCTGTTTTCATTTTATTTATAAACTAATTTCTTTACACAAATTTTCATCGACAAACCGTCATATATATATAGCATGAAGTTTATTTATTTTACAGCAATTACCAAACATGCTTTATTCCAACTGATATAAGCAGTTCTTTTTAGCTCTGAGGGAAGCACTGATCCGATAATTAAATAAATGACACAATGACCGTTTAATTCAAAATGTTTCTTCTGTAATTTCGCGACGAAGGAGGAAAAAAATGGAAATTGCGCAAATATGCTAGGAGTTATTGATGTCAGAAATACCAATTTACATTCAGAATTTCTATTGATGAAGTGTGGGAAAAGTTCGGTTGAGGAAGGAGGTTTTTGTCCCTCCTTCCTTCGAAAAATTAAAATAAAACAAAACATGTCCACTCCCTCCTTCCTCTTACGATGACTTATGTATACAATAGTATAGTAACCTTACTGAGTATACGTGACATGATCTATATGACAGTGCCTGGGGCCAGTCTGTACCACATCACAGGGCGGTCTGTCACTGCTATTGGTAAACTTTTACATTACATTACATCCATTAAAAGTATGCATATAGATAACGCCATTACTTCTGATATGACATGTGTAGTTTCAGGCCTCACTCTATGTACCTGATCTAGGGAAATATACGTATATAACATACTGTAGCTTACAAACTACTTCGAACCAATACAAACGGTAGACGACAGAGTTTGTTTACAAAGCATTGGTCGGGTCCATTCAGTCGTTATCTGGAGCTGTAAACGATTACAGAGACAGAGGAATCCATGGGCGTCAATCATACCACATGTCTGTAACGCCAGACGTACACACCGTGGTCAAAGAATATGGATGTCCAGCTAGCCTTGTGCGTGGCCTGGCTGTTGACCATCATACCAAGTAAGTGTCACCAGTTTAACATATATTTCATTTCTGTGAAATCATTTGTTACTTGCAGTGGCGGATCCAGAGGTCTTTTTAGGCTTCAGGAACCCCACACCCTGAGAAATTTTCTTTAAAAATCATGTATTTTCACCATTTTCCTCAATCGCCCCC